CTCTCTCTCTCTCTCTCTCTCTCTCTCTCTCTCTCTCTCTCTCTCTCTCTCTCTCTCCATCTTATGTAAGAGCAATCAACTCCCATCAGTGGAATGAAACTCTCGCAACATGTCACGAACAGAACTCTGTTGCAGCACTTTCCGGCGATAATCCTCAAAAGTTTGAAATCAATTTTGTCGCTGCCGATGGTAGTCAAGATGGATGGCATCATCAACAGATCTCCACGTGTTCATATCCGTATGCAACTCCTCAGCCGCTTGCGTGATATCTTGCAACCTGTGAGAGCTATCAAGATAGGAGAGATTCACATGCACTTTTTGGGGACCAACGGATGCAAGAGACTCATAGACGGCAATATCAAAAGTAGGAGTGACTTCTGGCAAACCTCCTATACGGACGTGCAGTTGTGCAACTGGTGAGACAGGAGCGGGGACAACGCAAGGAGCAGGAGATGGAGTAAACAAAGCGGCATGCGAAGCAGAGACAACTGTAGAAGCAGTGATGATGGGCGTTCCCACATTGGACGGCGAAGCATAATTTGCAAGACGTTGACAATTCGCATGAGACGGTGCCGGTAATGATAGTGGACGGACAGTGGCCGAAGGAGGAGCGGAAAAAGCAACACCGACAAAAATTATTTTGATGAGACTTTGTATGCGAGCATATCTGAAGAAGGGCTCCGGAATAGTCTCATCCGTCGGACAATAGGGCAAATCAAATGTCATTCTTACAATCTCCTCATTGGAGAGCGCAATGTACTTATCGTGCAGAAGGGATTGGAACATCTAGCTGGACTCCACATCCGAAATATTCAACGGATTGGAGGGCAGAGAGGATCCTCGTTCCAAGCGCATATTAGTGAGTTTAGTTCTCTGCCAATCAAGGAATTTTTCCCATATCCGTTCATCCTTCACGACCGTCGCAGTCTTCACAAACATTTCGAAAAAAGATTTCATTCAAGACCTTTCGCAAACCAACCTTTTTTGCATCATCAAACCATTGAGAGAGGTAAGCACGCGGATGAGGAACGCGTGCAACTGGCGGTGGGGGATTGCTATCATCGGGCACCTCAACAACTGTCGCACAATTTCGTGTTTGGGACAGGGCACGAGCAATTCCTTCACCTTCACCACGTTGGGACTTCAAACACGGATCACGATCATCGCCGAAAAGCACATCAGTAGGGATCGTGCGAAGTGCTCTCAGAACCTGAGTCGCAGTTTCAGGACTAACAACTTTGTTAGTCACCCGATGATCACGAAGGGTGGGCTCAAGGGCGTCGGGCGAAGCCAAAATATTGTTTTTCACACGTCGACTGGTCCTCCTTTTGAATGTAGATTCAACACGGTCACCGGAACCATCAGTGGAGGTCTCTTCTTTATCATCACTTAACACACATTTATGAGCGTCACCCGGCCGATCCCCCTGATAACTATCCCCTTTCGCTCGAGAGTCATGACGCCCCTCTTCCACAAACATATTTTCAGCATCCTCGAGCGTGTTCCGTTGAGGAGACACATGCTCATGTTGAAGTCCAGGACCAACACCCCCGACACGTGGTCCAGTTTGAAGGTTGACAGACATTTCATTGTTTCGGCTAATTTTTTAGGGTTCCGAACACTGCACTCGACTATTGGATGTAACATTGCAATTAGCATCAGTAGCAGTATTGGTGCCTGTCACTTTCAGCCTTTTGCTATTAGCACGGGTGTCATACTTGTGGCGCAACTGAGAACCGCTTGCAAAAAAAAAAAAAAAAAAAAAAAAAAGGAAAAAATATTCAGAGTGATTAGAATCGACAGTCGAAAGAGATACAGACGACAAAAGAGAAAAAGTCATTCCAAAAGTTCGTGATAAACAATATTCTTTGTGATGAAATTTTTGTCAGGCAACGCAACACTAATGTTATTGGGATGACCAACACGCGACAAAGCAACATACAATTGGTCATGCGCAAAAACAGGTTTGCGCAACCAAACCCCGGCATGAAAGACAGTTTGTCCTTGCGACTTGTTAATGGTCGCAGCGAACGCAAGACGGATGGGGAACTGCCTCCTATTTCATTTAAACCCCGTGGTTTGACCATCACTTGTCAAATCGATTTTGGGGATCAGTGCCGTTTTACCGGTGCGCATTATGGTCACTTCCAACAAATCATCATCAACAATCTTTTTAAGAATCAACCTTGTGTCATTACAAAGTCCTTGTTTGGGCGACAAATTGCGCAACAGCATCACAGGCGCACCAATTTTCAAGCGCAGTTTGTGAGGCGGAAGACCAGACTCATCGGGAGAATTTAAGAACTCATGCCAAGTGCGTGATCATCAGAACCAGGGTAATCAACACTATAACTTTCACGCACCTCGCTAGGGAAATCGTTGAGAACCATGTCGTTAACACACCCCGCATCGTCATTAGTAGCGCAGAAAATCAATCGAGCGTAAAAATAGTCAGCATCCCCAACGTGTTCACAAACATCCTCAAACGTCCAGGAAATCAAATCACGAATAGGTTTATCAGTGCAAATCTCATGCGGCAGTTTGACCGTGGCAGGTTCGTTAGGAACAAAACGAATATGATCACCATTCCCAATACGCATCAAAAACACGCCATACATTCGCGTCATTGCATCATCGGTCTTTGCATTAGCCGTACCCCCACCGGTGGCAAAATGCTCGGTCTTTGCGTTAGCCGTACCCCCACCGGCAGCCCCACCCCATCTCTGACTACCACTGTTGGGGTGGGGGGCAACATGAATTACCTCGTTTGCGAGGCCCTATGCTTGCAGGGGTCCCCTCTATGTAGTCTTAGGAGTAGTGGTAGGAAGGTAGTGAAAGGCAAAAAAAGAATTTGAGAGAAGAACATAGTATAGTTTAACAAAAAAAAAAAAAAAAAATCTCACCTGGCGCACTACCTTCCACCACCTCTCAGTGCTCTCACCAACTAGACAGAAATTTGAGAAAAGGGGAGTTCGAACCTAGGACAAGGCAAAAGGGAAAAGGGTGAATGGCCTAAGGCTGCCACATAGGGACTGCTAGTGACAGATCCAAGGATCAAGTCCCACATGGCAAAACACTCACCAACAAAACACACAAGTTACGAGCCGCGAGAACAAGTCCCGCAATGCTCTAAACGAAAAAACAGCAAGTAAACAAACTACACAGCYGGACACTTAGTGTACAGCCCCAATGTGGAACTGYGATTTACAGCACTTGCACRCTATGACAGGAGGCAGAATTTYGCTGTGTCAGTCATACTTGTTTCCTTTCTAACCAACAAAGGGTGAGCTGCCCAATGTTTCTGAAACCAAGCAATACCCTTGGCCGGCGACGAAGCAAAGGAAACTTTCCGTCGCCAATCTATYTGTATCGCCAGTCTAAGTGCTTGTTTGGCATGGAGCTGCAACTCGACGAGAGTACTCAGGTCCTCATGCCAAATGGCTTCATTCCGAGCTTTCCAAATGGTCCATAACAAAGCTCCCCTTGTGACCTCAAATACGTATCACAGGGGTGGAGAAAAATCTGCTATAAGACAGCCCAAAAGTATACCGTCAACTGTCCAGACCTGAGACAAGACCCCAGAAAGGGGCCCAATTTCTCTCCACCAAGTCCAGAAAGCCTCACCAAGTGGGCAAGCCACCCAAAGATGGGTTAAATCTTCTACATGATATCCGCAGCTACGGATCTTACAAAACGGGTCACCATGAGCCAGTCGTCGAAAAACCCACGCCGTTGTAGGAACTGCAGTATGCATAGTAAGCCACAGAATGCCTGCATGTCTTGGGATGGGCAGGGCGGGCAATAAGGACCAGAAGTGATYAAGTCTACKAAGAAAGTCAGAATACTGCACAGATYGCAGTCGGGGCAATGCCGACCATCGCTTACTAATAAGCACAGCCATATCCAYTGTTGGTAACAGTAGATTCTATGCCAATTTGACTGAAAAGTCGAGCACAGAACAAACGCGGTAAGGTCTGACCGGGTCACGCCAATTCCAATCTCGTGGATCAAACTGGAGCTGAGC